AGCAAGTGGCTGCAAAATTAATAAAAGAAAGTTCTCTTACTGTTTCTCAAATCTTGGGAAGGTCTAGAATCATTAAAAACATGAAATGGAATCCACCTCACCTGGAAAGGGGCACAGCTAAGGCGACATTTAATAAGCCCTCGCTCTGCAGCAGATGCAGGAAAGGCAGCGGATGGCAGAGGGATGTGCCCATCCAAGGCACCTGGTGCCAGAAAGCCCACTAATAAGAAAGATGAAACTTCCCTGATTACAGAGCCTAAAAGTCAATTTTAGGACTATGAAATATGACTTTAATAAATGAATACATAAGCCATGAGGGTCCCAAACCCAGCACTGCTAAAAACCAAAATAGTATTTAGTCCACAGATCCCTACATGAAGGATCAGCACTTGGTCTGGTCTTCAAATCTAGTGATTTTGAAAATCTTTCTGCGAATGCCTTGGAACCTCCTGGTGGGTCCCTTTTTCTCTGCTCCAGATGTCTGCGTGGGAAGGCGCCCCTGAGTGTGCAGAGTCGGTATGTGTGGGCTTGAGACTATCCATTAGTGACTGTGTGTGTCTGTGCATGCATTTATAAGTGTTGACTACACACACACACACACACACACACACACACTCTAGATATGGGTCTTTTCTAAACCGCTGCTCTTAGCGCATTAGGGTCTTTCTCACCACAAAGCTCAGAGCAGCGGAAGTGCAGTGCAGTGTGATGGCGCTGCAGTGGCCAACAAGTTGGAAATCACAGAGCATTCTCCCAGAGGAGCTGCTTATCACAAGGACGGCTCAACAAGGGGTATTTCTTCAAACGCTTCCGTCCACTTTGCTTTTCTCCCCTCCCTTCTTTCCAACAATTGCTAAGCCTGACATGACCTTACACACAAGCTGTCTACTTTTATGCTACCTCAACCCACAGCACTGCCCTCTACACCTATCACCCTGCACATTTTACAAAGGAGAGAACTGGGGTGCAGAACAGGACATACCCAACATTATGCAGGTAGAAAGTTCTCAGAATGAGCAAGCTTTTCTCCCTCTAGGCAGAAAAGTGAACCTGGAGCTAGAGGACCTAGATAGGACTGTAGGGACCTCACTTACTAATAATATCCCCTACTCTGGACCCCAGGACATCATGCTCTCCAACACATGGAGTTACTCACAGATACGTGCGACAGGATGCTTACCACAGAGCTGGGACCTAGAGGAAGCCTTCGCCTTTTTTCCTCCTCTGCACCCAATCAGAGATGGATCTCCCTCTCCTGGATCACTTCTCCTGCTTCTTAGGCTTGCACCTGTGGGCCCCATTGGAACCCATTTATATTGGGCCCCAAGTAAGAGGCTTTTATTGGAACGCTGTGGTCTCACAGGAGATACCCATGGCCTTACAGAAATTAATTTTATACTAGTGATACAGAGGTTAGTTCTGGGACTGGGACATTAGGATCTGCTCTCAGCTTTGCCAATGGTTTTCTGTGTGTTCTTGGTCATCACTATCTGTAGGATAAGTGAAAAAATACCAGGGTTTTCCTGCCCTCCCGCCATTAGGATGACGGAACCCTGTGGTCCCAAATGCATGCCTGATAGCGGGCACCTGGAATAGGGTGTGGGCATGTGTAAGTGGGATTCATCTGGGCTAAGACTGGGCTTATAAGGGTGGCATCATGGGGATGCCAGCAGAACCACGAGAGGAGCAGAGAACAAGGCCATGATGAGAAAACGCCGGAGAGCCCAGATAGATTGAAGACTTGCCTGCCAGCCTCCCGGCCCCCCAGCACCTCTGCCTGCCATCTACCTGGTAAATCTCAATAAAAGCCTGCAAAAGCCACTGAGGGCTCCAGGACTCCTCCTTCACCCCGTCTGCTCGGGTCATAGATATCCTGCCCTGTGTCATTCCCGCCGTTACACCATCCATCTCTGGACGTCGGCTTTATCACCTACATCAGGATTCAACAAGCTACAGCCTTGAGACCAAACCTCATCCTTCCACTTGTTTTTGTACATAGCTTCATTGGAACAGAGCTCTATCTACTCCCTTGCAATCGCCCATGCTGTGGGCACTGCCCCCCCAAAAGGGCTACCTTGTGGAGGTTGAACTAAGGACCAGTGAAGGTCTCCCCTCAGATATTAGGGTGGCCACTCACCTTGCCACCCACAGGTCAGTCCATCTTCTGCTTCTGACTCTAGAGAAATTTCTCCAAAATGCAGATATTAAGATGTCACTATTGTGCAACCAGCCCAGGCTGGGCAGGTTCATTGTTGATTCAAGGCAAACAAAAAGAGAATTTTGGAGCCTTGAGTATCTCGAACGTGCCTTTAATGTAGAAGCAGGAACCGGACACACAAGCAGACCAGCAGGCAGGGAGGCAGCAACTGAGTCCCAGCCCCTGTGGATCTGCCTTTTATCCCCCAGCAACTCAGCCCAGGTGTCCATATTTACATATGCCACGCCCCACGCTGGCTGGCTTGTCCGCCCAGGTGTCTGTACTCATAGGAGCGCGCGCCCCATGCTCACATGGCCCAGTGCTTTGGTGCGTTAACACGGTATCACGAGCAGGTGATACCACCTGGGAGGAACTGAGACAGGGTGGTGGCCGTAGAGGTTGGCGGCAGGGGGCAAAAAAGAACCTGAGTGACTATTTTCCCTACAGTCACTTCCTCACTTAAGACCTCTCAATAGCGGCACAGGGATTACCTGCAAACTGGCACCAGGGGTCTGACTGGGGGTGAGAAAAATGTTCTGAAATTGGGTTATGGTAATGGCTGCATGTAGGGTAAAGAAAATGTCAGGCTTTTCTGCCCTCCCGCCATCAGGATAGATGATGGATCCTTGCGGTCCTGAATGCATGCCTGATGGCGGGCACCTGGAGTAGGGTGTGGGCATAGGTAGATGGGATTCACCTGGGCTGAGACTGTGCTTTTTAAGGGCGGCGTCACGGGGACGCCAGTAGCAGCAGAAGCCAAGAAGCTGAGAAAGAAGCCGAAGAGAAGCCGATGAGAGAAGCAAAGAAGCAGAGAATGCCAGAGAGCCCAGAGAGAGTGTGGATTTGCTGGGGGCAGGGAGAACTGCCAGCCTCCCGGGCCCCCAGCACCCCTGCCTGCCATATGCCCGGTGAACCCCAATAAAAGACCTGCAAAACCACTGTGGACTCTGACTCCTCCTTTACCTGGTCTGCTGGATCCTAGAAAACCTGCACTGTGTCCCTTCCTGCCCTTACACTGCACAACTCAGAATTGTTTAAAAACCACTGGACTACATTAAAATCAGTGGATCCTGTGACATACATACCAAGTCACACCTTCATACATTTGTTTGAAAAACAAAAACAACTTTCCACAGCCCCAAGCCAAGGTGACCAGGAACTGTTACCCTACAGGCAGGCTCCATGGGGCGGCATCCTGCCCAGTGGGTACTATGCACGAGATAAGCAGGGAAAGTGGGAGAGGTGCCTCGAAACTGCTACTGAATTTTGGCATTTGTAGGGTAAAGAAAAATGTCAGGCTTTTCTGCCCTCCCACCATGAGGATAGATGATGGATCCTTGAGGTCCTGAATGCATGCCTGATGGCGGGCACCTGGAGTAGGGTGTGGGCAGAGGTAGATGGGATTCACCTGGGCTGAGACTGGGCTTTTAAGGGTGGCGTCACGGGGACGGCAGCAGCAGTCGAAAGCAGCAGCCGAGAGAGAAGCAGAGAACGCGGGAGAGCCTAGATAGAGTGAAGACTTGCTGGGGGCTGGGAGGCTGGCAGGCTCCCAGCACCCTTGCCTGCTGTGTACCAGGTAAATCCCAATAAAAGACCTGCATAAAACCACTGAGGACTCTGACTCCTCCTTTACCCAGTCTGCTGGAATCAGAAAACCTGCACTGTGTCCATTCCTGACTTTACAGCATTGCTGTGACATTTTTATTGCAGTTTATAAAAATATGGGTCCACAATGAGTAGGGGGGTATAACCTTCCATTTTTGGTTTGAGTAGCACACTCTAGAAGAGGGAATAGATGCGGTCTCCTTAGACAGTCAAAGCCTCCCATGACCCACTTGCTCCTGCAGGCTTAGTTCCCACCGTATTTCCTTTGTGACCGTCCCTCAATCCACTTAGCTTCCAAATTCTACCAAAATCTCACTCACTCATCTAACCCACGACAGGCACTGTTCCTGGCAACTCAAATGCCTTTCCCTTCCTTTTATGATAATTATTCACCTTTCAGGATTCAGGCAAGCAGCCCTCTCCTCTGAGAAGTCACCCTCATTGCCTTCACCCCAAATACCCCCAACTCATTCCAGATGGGGTTCCCCTGGGGCCCACTGTTCACCTTCACATACACATTCAAGGCCCCTGGGCTGGACCTGTCACAGCTGGAGAAGTAGTAATGGAAATCTTAAAAAATCTTAAATCTTAAAAAAAAGAGTAACTGATGAAATTGTTGCCTCCCTCCTTGCTCAAGTGGTCATTAAGGCTAGTCTCCTCACTGATTTGAAAGTAACTTTGTTTCTAGAAAAAAAAATTCCAGGCTCATCTTGATTTTTCCTGCCCCAAGAAACAGGATCAGATATTTCGTAAAACTGTGTTTCTAACTGAGAACAATATTGGAGAAAACAGATTGGACATTGCAGTCTCCAGGCTCTCTGACTCTGAATCTCAATTTTTCCACCTGCACAATGGGGTTAATAGCAGTGCCTCCCTCATCAGGTAGTTATAAGCAATTATTTTATAAAAAGTTGCAATGTCTATGTTCCTCCAGCACCCTGGAAGGCCACATTTTTGCCCCTGCATTGTAATTGTTTATTCACATATCCGTCTCCTGCCCCAGACCCATGAACTCCAAGGAAAAAGGGGCTGCGTTGGCATCTGCAGGGCCTGGCTAGGAGGAGAAGCTCCGTAAACATGAGTTGAACAGTGAGCAAGTAAAGTCCTTTCCCTTCCCCAACCTAACAATACCTAGGCAGAGAAAGAGGCAGACACATCTGTCATTACTTAAACAATCAAATCATGTAACACGCCATACCTGGTAGAAGTGTGGCCAGAAGGTGCTGATGGCAAGCTCTGCCTTCACCCAGCCCTCGGTGACGACCCCCGACACATTCCAGACGGGGTTCCCCTGGGGCCCGCCGTTCACCTTCACATACACATTCAAGGCCCCTGGGCTGGACCTGTCACGGCTGGAGAAGTAGTAATGGAAATCGATGCAGTGGGTGTCATTCTCCTTCAGGGTTGGCAGGAGGAGGTGGGCCTTCTGGCCAGAGGCCCTTCCAGAGCTGTTCACCATCATGAAGGATCCTGGAGACCCACAAAGGGGGAGGGAGGTAGAGACAAGAAGAGAGAAAGAAAAGCCTTCTGAAAATCAATCATACCCACAAACATGGTGGCCAGAAATCATGTCACTCCAGGAGGGTCTGGTTGATCCTGAAGAAACCACACCTCCTCTTTCAACCTGAGTGTCCTCTCCTGTCATAAAAAAAAAAAAGCCTACTCAAGCAGGTGGTTTTAAGAATTAAGCGATGGTTAAGGCATATGAAGTATTTCCACAAAATAGACAGTTTATAAACATTTACAGAAGAAACGTTACATTCAGCAGCTACTAAAGGAAGTGTGGAATAAAAACCCAGAAATGCAGCTAACTGCCACCTCCGCCTGGGAAGTGGAGAGAAATACAACCTCATGCCAGCTCAGGCTGTCTCAATGGGAGCAGAACCTCTACAGCAGGGGAGGTGATATTCCAACACACACCACCTGGACCTTTGCATTCTGTACAAGGATTACATGTGAGGAAGACACAATAAAAAGGAGGATGTCTTCAAGGAAGCAAGAATGACCCATAAGCAATGTGAGAGGCAAATGGAAGATATTCAGCCTAGAACAGAATTCAGCCTGAATGCTTACAGAGATCCAGTGGTTTATATATTATTCAGTTCAAGGAATAAAGACCCACATTGTGCCCCCAGGCATCTCAAAGGACAGCCACGTGGCTAAAGAATCCAATGATCAGCCAATCCACAATAAATGCTCAGACCCATGAGCATAAGCACAAATGAATGTTTACCACTGAGTACATTCCTTATTTGATAAATAGCACCTCCATGGCAATAGCTAATTGATAAAGATGCCTGAAAGGGCAGACCTATGGGAGAGAAAACCAGCAGGCACATGTCAGTTCAAAGAACCTGCTAACAAGTAGAACTGATGCAAAAGGGGATTGACTACCTGGAGACACAGTCAAGTTCCCCGCCGTGGCAGGTGCTTAACAGAACCTGGACAAATGAGGAGATGTCTAAGGACTTCTCACATTCAATTGTGAGGGCTGAACTCTGTAGCTCAGAGTCCTATTATTCAATGAAATAAACTGCATCATAAAACACAGTACATAAACTCAGGATGAATCTTCTCACCTAGAAAACCACTTGCTTTGAAATCTTATTTTAACCACCCAAATGTTCAATTCTAAATAAGACCTTAAGACTACAGACACTGAACCAAAACAAGGCACTTCCATTACTACAAGGCTCCTCTTTCTTTCACCTACTATCAAAAAGACTTAGAGCTGCCAGCTAATAAGTGCTGGGCAACTCATACCTTGTTGGGGTTCCAGAGGGTGCCAATCATTTGCTTCCAGGTAAATTAATTTAAAAGTAGAAACAGGGAAGAGACAGATTTCAAAAGCTCCACTTTATTACTCACAAAGCCGATTAGAGAAAGTAACTCAGACTTCAGGCCCGATTAGGCTTCTTGCATTTTCTTCCCTAAGCTATCATACAGAGCAGCTGAACCATCATGGAACCCCTCCTTCTGGCTCCCCCGGGCTCAAGAGGTCCTCAAGGGAGGACCACTCAGGGTCACTGGGTGGGCTCATCCCCAAAATGAGTCAACAAAAAGCAAGCCGATAAAGACAGGAAAACATGAAGCAAAGCAGATTCTCACATTCTGCCAGCCAGAAAACTCACCCTCCTGGCACCAGAGCCACTGAAGAAGATACTACAAAGGTGGTGTCTTCCTCTCAGGGTTCTAAGACAGGAGAATGTCCTCGTGTGTGGCCTGGTGGGAACACAGGGTAAGTGCAGAGACAGCCTCTGTCAGATGTCATCTCTAATTATCACTACCTCCCGGTGACTCAACAAGGAAGGAACCACTGCAGAGGGTAAAGTGAGGCACACAGAGATGGCAAAGCCAGCATCCATATCTGTCTGCCAACCTACATTCCACAAGACTCCAGAAGGTTTATCTGGGACAGATGAGTGATGACCTACAGAGTGACAGATGAGTGATGACGCACAGTCCAACAGAGCGACAGTCCTTGTCACGGAGGAGGGTGCAACTCAGATTGGGGGAGGCAGCCTGAGAAGCAGGAGGTGTCCGGCTCTCTCACTGAATGCCATGATGCCAGCATGGGCATTTCAGAGCCTGCCCTCCTGTCAGCTCACTCCAGGCTGCTGACATCCACAGCAAGGAGAGCCAGAAAGGTTCCCGCCCACCGGCTTAGGTTCCTATCCCATCCTGGCTTCAGCAAGGCAGCTCAGGGACACTCTTCACCTTGCCACCCCTGTGACTGCTGACAGAAGATGCTGCCATCTCCCTGAAGGTGGAGCTCGTGAAAGTTCTTGGCCTTCTATCAATGCTCCACATAGCAGAAAATTGCCAGTTCTCTTCATTCTGGGCACATAGCTGGACCACATTCCCAGCCTCCTTTATAGGTAGATGAGGCCATGCAATGGGGTTGGAGTCAATGGGACCTGAGTATAAAGTATGCTACTGCCAGCCTTGGTCCATAAAAGCCAATGTACATGCACACGTGCATGCAACACACACACTCATTTTCCATTCTCCATCATCATCTGGTCTCTCACAGGGTGGCCCTTGGATCAGAAGCCTCTTCATCACCTAGGAGCCTGGGAGAAATGCAGAACCTCAGACCCCACCCCAGGTGACTGAATTTGATCTGCATTTTTATCAAGATCCCCAGGGGATCTGTGTGCATATGAAGGACAGGAATCACTGTTCCATCCACCAGCTGAAAGCAGAAGATTCCAAGAGCCCAGTTCCCTGAGGATCCATGTCCATGAGGAAGGCCACCTAATTGGAACACTCATTTTTGACCTTAAATAAAGGAATATGCTATTATTGGGTCATTAAGTCATTGAAATTTTGAGGTTTATTTCTGCAGCTCATATTGGTATTGTTTAGCAAACCCCCAGAGTCCCTACTTCCTACAAGTGCCTTTATCAAAGGGAATAAGATGAGACACCACAGAAACTAGGCAAAGCTGCAATATACTCCAAATGGGGACATCATAAGAGCAGTGTCTTTAGGGAAAAAATACAAAAAGAAAGAGAATGAAAAGAATGGAAGAAAACAGATACCTCGGACCTCCATTAAGATCGCTAGTGTCTTGGGTGCGCCAAGCTGGGCTGGGGTAGGGCCACATGCCAGTTCCCCCTCACCCTCACCACCACCCTGGCCCATAACGTTGACTTGTGTGACCTGATATGCAATATCTGACAGGAAGGCATGTGTTTTGGTGCAAAACTCAGAAAGAAATAATTAGGGGGGAAAAGTAGAATGATAATGAAGGCTGCCACCTCACCAACCATTGACCCCTAAAGGAGGGAAGGGTGCACACAGCAGGATAGAGTCCTGCTCCTGAGTGTCTTGGCGAGACTGGAGGTGAGGGGTGAGCTCTGGGGTCCAAGTGGCAGAAAGTGGAGAGTAGTTTCTGGATACATGGTGGGGGCAAAATCTGCACCAACATCTGGCACACCCAGCAAGAGGAAGGGACACTGTGACACTGGCAAGGGCACCCACAGCAGCAGCTGAGGGGAGGGGTCTCCTGTGGCTTGCACGCAGTGGGCTTCTACAAGGATTGCAGAAAGGGACTAACCTTACACCCGGGGGTTCTCATGAGTGATGGGGAGAGTTTAATGATGGCAGACAAAGGACCAGTAGTGAAATAGGTGGAGGCTTGAGGGACAGAAGACTTAGATCCTGGGATAGTATCTTACAGCTGTCATTACAGATTACCACCAATTGAGGGATCTAGTACAACACTGATTCCCTTATCAGCCTGAATAAGACAAGTCTTAACTCAAGGTGTTGGTAGAACTTCTTTCACTCTGAGATTTCTGCAGAAAATCTGTCTCTTTGCCTTGTCCAGCTTTTAGAGGCTGCCTACACTCCTTGGCTCATGGGCCCTTCCTCTGCCTTCTAAGGCATCACTTCAATGTCTATCACGATGGCCACAGCACCTTTTTTTGACTTTGACCCTCTTGCCTGACTCTTATAAGGATCCTGCACCTTAGATTCAGCCAAACAATCCAGGATAATCTCCATTGTAGGATCTTTCATTTAATCACATCTGAGGAGTCCCTTTTGCCATATAAGGTAGCACAGGTACAGGTTCCATGGATTAGGACGTGGACATCTTTGGAGGATCATTATTTTGTCATCACAGATACTATGCGGACATGACCACACATATACCTCCAGACTAATGATCCACAGAGAGAACGTTGACAGACCCATTCAGCAGCCACAGATACACTGTCAAGAGGACAGGGGCCCTGGGGATCTGAGTGCTCTTATGTGAATGTAGATATTTCCTCACTATAGCAGGTCTTGTCATCACCAAAGTCTTAGAAGGGAATGTAACATAGAACAGCAAATTGTGAGGGATCATTTGGTTCCCCCCAAAACAAAAGCAACAATCTTGGGGGATAGATTATGGGGAGGTGTAGCTTTTCCTGAAGAAACTCATCAAGGTAATTGGTCCAAGTAACCAACATGGTCACACCTGCTCCTTAGATATCACCCTGACTTGTGGCTGCTCTCACACTGACAACCTAGAATAGAAATGTGCCGTGCGCTTTGGCCACCCAATAGCTGAACTCCCTTCTTACGTTTGGGGAAAACCCCATTTTTACAGCAGAGCTTCAGCTCTTCATTCCACTTGTCATCCTTGCTAGTGGACTTCCTGCTCCTTCCATGGTCCTGCAGTCACTCCCCACAGCAGGACCCTCCAGTCTACAGAACATGCCTGGGTAATCTCATTGCTAACTGCACAGGACCCATTTTTTTCTCTCCTAATGCCCCCCCAGGAATATCTTCAGTCACATCAGATTGGCCTAGATCAGCAGGTATAAAGAGATGCTCAGAGTTAGCTGAGCCTCCCCTCTTTCCCAGTCAGGATCCCTTCCATGGAAGCATGCCTGGTGATCATTTAGAAGGGCATTTTAAACACCAGGAAGAGCACATGCAATGGCAGAGGCAGGAAGCTGCCAAATCCAGCAACA